AATCTCCAGTAAAATATTCCGCTTGACATTTTACATTAAGAAGTTAAGACACTCGGGTATAACTCAACCCCTCATCTTACAGTTCGTAAACTCTTGCATCCTACCTATTCTTCTTTATTGCTCACCCTTATTCTTTCCTGGTTTGCTTAAAAAAGACTATGTCACAATTCGTAGAATACTGAAGACTGTCAGTAGGGTGAGTGGTGTCCCAGTGGACCACATAGTTAACGTCGTTGTCGATAGGCACTTGACTTCGTGCAATAAATTTGCTAAAGGGATTTTGTCTGACTTGGAGCATCCGCTTTACCCTCAGCTTTCACCTTGCATCTCCTCAGGTAGAACAAGGAGTAACTTCAGAAAACTGTATGCTCGCACGTCTAAGTATAGAAATTCTATGATACCATACTTGGCACGTATTTTATGTGATGAAAATAGTGTCAGGCAAGAATTAACTAACCTTTTTTCATCTAGTAAATAAACAATTTCCTCCATCCATCCTTATATACCTTCAAGTTTTACTTTTATTACTTCTATTATATTTATGGTCCTGTTACTTCTCTGTTTTACTCTCATAATTGCAAACACCAACTTATCTCCATGACGGCTGTAATCTTTGTTTTTCCCTTCACCATATCATGTAGAAAGAACATTATATTCAATATTTTTAAACATGTTAGGATTTCTATACCACATTGACAATACTGTGTGGCACAAGCCAACGGCAATTTTCACTTGTATTCTTATTATTATTACCCTAGCTGTTATCATTATTATTGCTATTTCCATTTTATATGCTGCATGTTTTTGACACTACCTCTATTGTAAATGTGGAAAATTTTCTGTGTGATTAATTTTATTTATAATTTGAGGAAATTAGATGCAATATTGTGATTAATGCTGAAAATTCCATTCTGTATCACAAGTACTGTTTTTGGAATAAAGTAAATCATCATTATTATTATTATTACAAATCTTTCTGATATTACTCTATCTACTCATCAGAAAGAAGCTTTATCCCTTCGACTCAAATTTTGTGTTCCTCGCACGCAATTTACGGATTTAGCCATCCATGATGAGTTTCAAAACTTATATGACCAACTCAAACCTCTTGCTGCAACATCCGATGAAGATCGGGGCTGGTTTAAGGCCAATATGGTGGATATAGCTGACCAGTTTTCAAACAACAACCTAAAGGAGAAAAGTATTTTAAATCCCCAGCATTTCAAAGCCTTGAAAGAGCTACGGGAAAATTCTAATATAATTGTTACTAAACCTGATAAAGGTTCTGGAGTCGTCATTATGAATAAAAGTGACTACAAATCTAAAATGATGTCTATTCTTGATGATAAGAGGAAATTTAGTCGTGATCCCTCCTCAGAAGATATTCAGTTGTTTCAGGGCATAGTGACAGCTAATCTACTGAAGCTTCATGGCCTAAATGCTATAAGTAAAGATAAACTTGACTCATTAAAACCATCAGATTGTAAATTGCCACATATGTATGGGTTGCCAAAAATACAAATTAATTTAACAAACCAACTCACACCGCACGCACACACACACACACACAAAATATCACCGAAAGGTGAAAACACAAAGATGATGGTTAACATAAAGTTCTTCAATTAATTGTCTCCACCAAACACACACACGTACATACATGAGAGTAGTGAAGGCAGAAGTAACATACGTGAAGTGTGTGATAATTCCCAGCGTATTTCAGGGAAGTTAGTTACGCAGCAGACAGTAAATAGAATACACTGCAAAATAAAAAAGTAATTTGTCAGTAAAATTAAAAGTAAAATAATAAGTTGGCTTGTTTTTCTAACAGTAAGTAATACAACGGTTATTAACTTAAGTCGAATATCTCTTCCTCCTAATTAGTGTAGCATAAAAAATATTACATAATTAGCAATTAGCGAACTTGACCCCCCCCCCCAAAAGAAACAAAAAAGTGAAACTAAAACAGAAATAAACAGTCTGAGAAATTAAAGTAATTTGTGTTGTTTATTTATTGTGATTGATTTTTTACTTTCATGAAACTACTTGCCATCGAATGTTTTTTCTGTTGACGCCTCCTTTCCTTCTTTTTTGATTTTGTTAACAAAAAATAAAGATAAAAATAGATGAGAGAGAGAGAGAAAGAGAGGGTGACAACTGACAATTACAGAGAATATCCAAAGGTGTTTATTATTTATCTCAATATATATATATATATATATATATATATATATATATATATATATATATATATATATATATATATATTGTCAATGTATATTAGATGGTTGGAGGTAATCGGTCACAGGAAGCCATGTTCGACCTATGTCTCGTACTAGTTGCCACTCACCAGTCACCAAGGAGTATCTGCAACCTTGAAGGAGCTCATCTCCCTTCTGAGATTCGAACCCGTATCACCCAGTGCCACCTTCAGTCAGAGACGTTACCACTGAGCTATTCGGGCTCACGATTGACCTCCTGTAGGACTGTAGTAGATATTTTGATTTGACACCAATAACTAGTGTGATATGTCTAGTCCTCTGATTGGTGCAGATTGAATTATATCAGTCAACCTTGCAGCGAAGATAGGACTAGACACATTACACTAGTTACTGAATAGTGTGCAATCAAAAATGATCATAAGTTTCATCATTTTTTGCAATTTGAATGGAACATACGGCTTCAAGCTAGAGCTTTCAGGTTTCAGTAGTGTTGGGGGGCATTTTTCTTCTGGATAGGGTCGCTAGTCTCACGTCCCACTATCCCTCTTTACAGGATTTACTACTAGCTAAATAAGATTTAGTAGCGCATTGGCCTAGAATCCAACCCCGTACCACGTGTGTGTGTGTATGTGTGTGTTTTGGTCGGCGTTCTACCGCTAAAGCACTAACATATCAAAGATCATAATTAACTTCAAATTGTAGTTTTTAGCAGCATATCCAATTTTCACCATATGTCACGAGAGTTGTTCCCTGTAATAATAACGAACATATAAACTTATAGATGCAAAGACTGATTCACACATGTCATATGAAGATGGTATGTTTAATGAATCGCCTTTATTCCTAATAGTATATTTGTTATTTAACTCTTTTATTTTACGCCCATATTGAAAAAATATAAACATGCAGAAGGAGGAAGGCACACACACGCACACACACACACGCTGAAAAGACCATCGAATGACATTGTGCACCAGATCACGAACAGGAAACAACGACTTGAGTGTTGATCGGGTGAGGGGGGGGAGACATGGAGGAGACTGTGTGAGGAGCAGGAAATGAGAGGAGGACTGTAGTAAAAAGGACAAAATGGGGATGTGCTGTTGAAGCCCTATGTTCCACCCGAAACCTGTTTCCTTTTGTTCGTATTAAAATCATAACCCTTATTTTCGACTCAATAACAATCACTTATATATCAGGGTGATAAAGACAAATATCTTGCATTCATCTCTGACACGTATATGCAAATAGAGATGATGAGATAAAAAAAAACAGCTACACTTTAAGGTTTCTTTCGGCTAAACAATATATATATCGATCTAACCATATTACTTAGAGGAAATACTAATGATTTCTACAGTTAACAGAAAAATGGATGGGGAAAAATTGCCTAGAGGCACGTATATTTTCATGATTAACTGGCTAAATTGTCAGGTCGAATGCATCTAACCACATAGATATGAAACACAGATAATTAAATGAATTTCTTAGGCCTTTTTGTTTTGGCCAATAAGTAGTAATTATTATCTCACCAGATGGAGATGATGTAGTAAGACTTGTTGACAAGATACACGTCACTTCTTTTCTGTCAAACATGCTTACAAACACAATACAAGTCGAATTAAATCAGATACAAGAAGAAGAAGAAAAAAAAGCTTTCTGAAATCACTGAACAGTTCGTGTTATGATTAATTTAATTTAGCTTAAAAGTAAGAAGAGATACGACGAAGTGATACAACTTGTGGCCAAGTTAAACATTAAGCACCACTAACAACTACCAATGGAGTACGACTGCACACCAATGACTCTGAAATGCTCACTGAACAAGTTAGTTAGTGAAACCTGGCAAATAAGGTTGTCATCATCAATCAAAAAATAGGCTCATCGATGTGTTATGCTATTTTTAATGGGATTTCTGGCAAGTTTCAGTTTAAGTTTGGGAAAGATTAAGTTACACTTTAAGCCAAGGACAGGTTAGGGTTAGATTAACCTAATAAAGGCGAAATTAGGGTTGGTACGAGGTAGATTACAGTCAGTTTAGGGATATTTTCACGTTAGGGTTGGGTTCAGGAAATAATAATAATAACAATAACATGCATAGAATGTGGTTAAATTAGTCTGTTGATATAAGAATAGAACTTGTGCGCTGTGGCGGTAGAGTATAATTCCACTGTGGGTAACATTTATTTTGATAAAGTCTCATAGTGTTATATAGTAATATTTACTGATGATAACGTTTCGAGCACAATTCATTGCTCAGGAAATATTACTATATTACACTATGGGACTTTATCAAAATAAATTTTGCCCACAATAGAATTATACTCTGTTGATACTCCAACCTAAAACTGAGAGCTATTTTTAGCACATGTGAGAGGAAGGTATTCTCTGTAACACTTTTCTACAGCTTTTATGCATTCTTTTTCATAAATATATGTATTCCATAAACAAAAATGCCTCCTTCAGGTGATTGGTGCGTTCGAAGTCATTCGCTGATTGGTAGTTAGTGGCGCTTAAAGTTTAACTTTGCACAACTTGTGTCAACAAAATGCAATCCAGTCGAACAAGATTTTTGTGAATATTTCTAATTTATGATGATGTAACTGAAGAATTCCCCCCTATCGAACTAGGAGTTTTCCAAGCAACCAGTTTTATGTGAAAACCATTCATCTCTTTAGTTCAGATAAGTTTTGTTTTCCCTAATAACCATCCGGATGGAAACACCTCCATACATGGATATTTTTTAAGGCGATAAATGTTTAAAAAAAAACAACTTACAACACCACGTTCACCACGACCTCCACTACTGTAGGTAACAGCCAGGGTGGATGAACACAATTCTGCATACCAAGGAACAGATCCATGCTCTGAAACAGATCCAACACCCAATGTATAAATACTATTTGTGTATCCATCACAATTACAATTATCATGACTTGTACCACCATTTCCACTAGCCCATACAAAGATTGACCCTAAACCTCTTCGTCCCTGTATACAAAAAAAACAATAAAGAAACAAATAAGAATTAAATTATACATTTGGTAAATATCACACATCATAAATCTTCTGATCTGACACAGGCAAATAAATAAATAAATATAAATAATATACGTCAGTAAAGTCAAAATGTGCACTCTTGACATTTATACTTTCTGAATGAATGAATGAACCAAACAACAAGTATTGGTTTTTTAGGGATTTTCGTTTGATTGCATGGAGGATTTCATCCTGAGCTGACATCAGTTAGACAGCCATCGAAAAACCTGAAGGGAGTACTGGGACAGCTGTTTCTTCCGTCCTAGTTTGGGATTCTTCATCAGTACGCACTTACCCACCACGGTTCGAACCCAATTCCTACAAAACCAATACTTGAAAATTAATCTGATGCTCACTAGCGACTGGCCCTATTCAGGCAGTCAACCTGGGGTTCTAGTGGGATGCTGTGACCAGTAAGGTACAGCAGGTTGAAGATGAGGCAGTAACTCATCGAAGAAGACATTGCAAAGTGGTCGCGCTATGTCGTAAATTCACAGAAGTTAGATATCAAGGACCATTGGATCAGGTCCCAGTGGCTCAATAGTCTACGAGCTTGGTGGTCTTGTAACCAGAAGGTCCTGGGTTCGAACCGTGGTGGGTAAGTGCGTACTGATGAAGAATCCCAAACTAGGACGGAAGAAATAGTTGTCCAGTACTCCCTTCAGGTTTTCCAGTGGTTCTCTAGCTGATGTCAGCTCATGATTAAATCCTCCATGGAATATCAAATTTTGCATAGAATCGATAATCGTCTACTTTTACTGTTAATGCTGTATGCTTAAAGGTGGAAAATCTGCTTTTTTATGCATATAAATGTCAACTTCATTATAGGCTGAACACATTCAACTTTTTAGGTAGTAAATAAATAACAGAGAAGAAAATTAGAAAAGGATAATATGAAAATAACAATTTGGATACTTTTGTTTTTTGTTACTTTACGTCCCAAAAGGAATACAGGCCTTCACGCTAGAGGTCTAAAATTTCCATATCAGTGGCTTTTGATATAAGGCGAAAAACTGAGCACTGTGGCAGAGTATAACTCCACTATGGATAAAATTTTATTGTCATAAGATTACACAGTGTCATACAGTAATATTTACTGATGACGTTTAGACTAAAAGACCCGGTAGACCCAATTAAACAGAATAATATAATTTACAAAATACCTTGCAATAACTGTAAATTAAGTCAATTACACAGGTCAAACTAAGTAGATCAGGGGTAATCGGATTGTCAGAACATAAGAATTTAGCTGAGGTTAGAATGATTGGTCACACGAAGATAAGGTATTTAGAAAAAAAGAAAACTCAGCACTACATTGGATTCCATGCATTAACACACAACCACACAATAGGGTGAAACAAAGTTAAAATTCTAAAAAGTGATATAAGTGGATAGAGGGAGAGAGATTGATTATTTTATTCATTGGCGTCGGTAATTCATCGGTAGAATGCTCGTCAACCACGCCTCACATGGTCCGGATTTCGACTCCCGACCAGCGTATTCCTAAACCTTGTTAGGACGGTAGTAAGGCTAGCAAAGAGGGAAGATTGGGAGTGAGACTAGCAGCCCCACCCCCCTAAAAGTAAAGCCACTACTACTCAAACTTCAAACCGCTAGCCCTATATTTCACTCGGAACGTAAGGGAATAAAATAAATCAATCAATAAATATTATTATTATTATTTTATTCATCATAAAATTAAATATTTGTGAAAGATTATGAACCACTGGAGCTGCACTATGATTCAATATGAAGAATTAATTGTAATTCGTTAGAATGAATATTTCAAAGCAAATAACTTCAGAAACGATTTATTAACCAGGCTGCACAAGGCAGCTGATATGACTCAGTGCCTCCTATAACTAGAATGAAAAAAAAATACCACTGTCCATAGTGTATTGTTACGCAACAGTGTTCGACCTATTCTATTAATAATAACCAGTAAGACGTGTCTACAAGATACTGAAAGAAGTAAATAAAAAATTAAATCACCTACCATTTGAATTCCATTACGAAATGCCATTTGAGCTAATTTTCCAGGCCCATCAACTGTTTTCCCATCATCTTCTGGACCCCAAGAAGCAGAATATACATCGATATGTTGTAATTGATGACTTAATGAACGTGATTCCATTGCATCGGTGACATCACCGTCTAACATGCGTACACCGCCTATACGAGCCTTATAGGCTATGCCTAGTCCACATACACTATTGTTAGCAGCTGCAGCTACTTCACCAGCACATCGTGTACCATGTCGACTGAAAAAAAAGGAAGAAGAAGAGAATACAGAAACAAAACCGTTGATTAGGAAATATTTTTTTTCTGTTGTTGACATTTTCTATCCATTTCCACAAAGAAATGAAGATATCAGGGGTAAAAGCATTTTAATTATTTAAATGATTTCACATGAAGCTTGACTTCTAATGGACTTGCTAGTTAGCAACCTCTAATCTCTTTCCCTTTATTAATATTCATGTAAAACTGAAACGAATAATACAGACATCGTATTTACATTCACTTTAAAGACATAATCTAAAGCATATTTAATTTCAGAGATATGTAACAAACCAAAATGTACACAAAAATAAATCAAACAAAAAACTCCCATTTATATAGTGTGTGTGTGTTTAACTGATCTAAGAACCAGAAGATTCATGTGTACAAAAACAGTCTTTTATAACTGTTCTCCTACTATCAGAGATAAGGTTCCACTTTTGTGTAAGACAACTTGTCAGTAAAAATAGGATTAATGAAATGTTTAAATGACAGAGCACAAAAACTAAGTAGTACCAAGGAAAATCTAAGACAGGAAGTGATACACATAAAAGAAGCCTTGGAACTTAATAATTACCCTGATAAATTAGTCAGGAGATATGTAAGTAAATGTAAAAATAGAATAAATAATGATAATAGCGATAGTGATAATAATAATAACAATAATAATGATAATAATAATGGTAATAATAATAGTGATAATAATAATAATATTAATGACGACACCAACAATAAGGAATCTAAATCATCAGTAGTAATTCCATACAAGGAAGGAACCTCGGAAACCACCTTACACAGAATTCTTAACAAGGCAGGAATAAAAGTGACTGGCATTCAAACCCCCCACAAACTCATTTAGAAACAAGCTTTGTCGGTTAAAGGATCCTGTAGAGCCACTAAAACAAAACAATTTAGTTTATCTAATACCCTGCCGGAATGATTGTGAGGTCAAATACATAGATCAAACTAGTAGAACAGGGGCTGTCAGACTAGCTGAACATAAAAACCTATCTAAATCTAGATTGGTTGACCTGAATAAGATAAGAAATCTAGAGGATAATTCAGCTATAGCACTGCATGCAGGTAAACACAACCATATAATAGGCTGGATGGGATAGGATGACAGTTTTAAAATCTAATGTCTCAGGGTGGAGGTGGATATTGATAACAGAAGCTTTGTTTATCGAGTCAACTGCAAACCAACCTGTGTAATAGGAATGATTCAACACCTTTCCAGCCAGATATCTGGAAAATTCTACTACCCCTACGACGACAAATAGGAGAGGACAAAGGAAACTATAAAACTCAAGTTTCAAAGTCGTGTGATTACAATTAATATGATTATGAACAATAAATTTTGTTCGAAACGTCATCCAGTAAATAATAATATTTCCTCACTGTGTGATACATCTAATAAACAAACTAATATAGAATTAATTGGATAGATCAAAGAATACCGTGCTTGCACTTCTTATGTAGAACAAAAGACCCATTTGAAAAAGAAAAAAAAGCACTGCAGAATTGCACAAGTAACGAAAAGAAAGATAATTAATATGAAAGACGGTAGCAGCTTACAGTCGATTATTCATTTCAATGTAAAGATATTTAATATGGTGTTATTAAGATGGTGTAAGCAAGTGATATATAGACCTGATTTTTCCTCATCCTACCTATGACCTTTGGAATCCTATTGGTTGTTCACTGTCCCAATTTATCGATGACATTAGTGCTTCTCAAGGTCAGGTCAAACATATATATGCAAGCGCCATCAACATTCTTTTTCGGACAGTTGTTTTGAGACAGCAAAATCTCTCTTATCAACATCCAGTCTTTTTCTTTTGTTTTCTCAGCCTGGTGTTGTTATTATTATTATTGAAAACATTTATTTCCCGATACGAATTTAAAACAAGTAAGATTATCTTAACTCACTTCAACACTATTAAACTTGTTATTATAACTATTACTATTGATATTAGTCTGTTTGCAATTCTCGTTATATTCCCCAATGACTAATTGTTTATCTAAGTGATGTAATTGAAGCGTGATGCAATTTATCTTAACTTTGATCTCTCATACTCTCTCTCCCCTTATCTATTTGAATATGACCTGGAAAACATTCGCACCTGTCTGTCTGCATGATTAATTCAATGTAGTTTGTTTACTTATCAGTCTTATATCTCCCTATGTAATTTCAAAAGTACATATATTCGTGTATGTAGAGTATTCAGCTGACGAGTTCTACCGAAATTTGATGAATTCATTAAATCCTGCTTTATTAACCCTTATTGCTTGTTTTAAATTATTATTATTGTTGACGTGTGATTAGGACAAACTAGCCAGCTCATTTAGTTAGAATCCGCCCATAGTCTTCTAGATCATAGTTCCGATCATGACAAAAAGAGCTTCTGATTAAGACTTCTATAAATATTCAGCTTAGAAAGTAAACCATAAAACAAAACTGAAGCAGTGATTGTAAAAATTGTGTAACTTTTGGCCTGTAAGTATTTAGTTTATTTTGCATAGTGTCACAGATTGCGACCAAGTATTATTGAGCTTTTGATTGTATATATATTTAACCTTAGAATGATTTACACTAAGGATAGTGCTTAAACAAAGCATGGAAGGTTAACACATCGGGAGAAACAATCGACATGTTCAATAACAATTTAGAAAATAGAATGAGGAGTTTGAAGAGGCAAATAAAAACTAAATGTACTGGGTTCAATCCCCAACGGGAACACCATCATTCACTGAAGAATGTAGGTACATCCAGATGAAGAGTCTCAAACGGGACGACATTGACATCCTGGATTCTACTGACAGTCATCATCCACGTAATTGTCTAAATGTACGAAGGCTTTCCCTCTTAGGGAAGATAAGTTTTAAGTTCGCATAGGTTCGTGAAAGACTTCCTCACATGTATACCATAGCACACACACACACATCTGATGAAGTATTACGCATCTAGGCTACTTCCTATGAAATAAAACTATCATATTATTTAAAAAAAATAGTTAATAATACTTCATATCGTTACTTTTCCATACAAAAAGGATTAGTAAAACTCTTCCAAGAAGCGATGCTTCCAAACGTCTACAAAGCTATTAATAATTTATGAGGCTGTAGAAAGTAAACTTGGAGTAGGGTAAGAGAAATCAGTAGGAGATTTGGGATACCTAGATTTCTTAAGAAAGTCAATCAATATATATATATATATATATATATATATATATATATATATATATATATATATGGGAAGTTACTTTTAGAAACGTAAACAATACATTTCTTGAATGCAATCAACTTATACCTAAATATGACACATCATAATCATTATTTATTTGAGTTGGCCTGGATTAGAAATTGTTGTTATGCAGAATAATGACAACCCATCAAATATATCCTCTGACTTAATAATATACATAGATAGACGAAATCGATATGATCCGTAAGGAAACCAACAGCCAGCGTTACAAAAGTGTGACAAAAATGCACAGAGAGAACAGTTAAAGAAGATATTATGAAATTTAGCGGTACATATGTATGCTTTGTTGTGTTACTTTCAGTTCTACATTTTGTAACATAATTCATGAAGAGCCAGCATTTCGCATACTCCAAGTTATTTCAGATCATTTTTAAATAATCCAAGTAAAATCTCAGTGTTATTCCCATTTTGATTTCCACTATCACGAAAACGTATACATTCACGGATAATAAAACATTAATTGGAGTACAAACCTGATAAAAAGTCTATAATACTAAGCGACAAGCTTTCATTACTATCAAGTCTGTGTGGAAGTCAACACCACACTCAGCATGAAAAATAAGATCCGGATTTTCAACCATAATATGAAGTCAGTACTACTATACGGATCAGAGACTTGGGTAGCGCGTCACAAAGGCCACTTCGAACAAACTACAGACCCTCATCTACAGCCGCCTTCACTCAATACTACTTAAGATCAGATGTCCAGAAAAGATCAGCAACAGGGATATGTGGAAATGAGCGAACAAACTCAGCAGGAACCGAGTGTACAACAAATATCCAGGAAGAAATGGAGGTGGATTGGCCATACTCTCAGAAAACCAACCATCAAGTGACATCACTAGACAAGCCATAGCTCGAGTGGGACGCGAAAGGGAAGCGGCGAGTTGGTCGTCAGTTCGAGGGTCACTTGGAAGAGGTCATGTAAAGAGGAGATGAAAGCGTGTGGGCAGACTTGGAGCGGGGTGAAAACGTTGGCATAAGACCTAACGCAATGGAGACAGGCGGCTGAAGCCCTATGTTACTCGAGGAATTAAAGGAAATAATAATAATACTAAGCGACTACTTGGCATTAATTTATGAGACGATGCTCTCAGTTATTAGTTGCATCTACACTATTACGATAGGAATACAATTATATGCAATGGTCAGCTGGGGGAGGTGAGCAGCATGCATTCATTTTTAAGTTAACCTTGATTTTCCCATGGATTGATTGGACCAAAATGTTAGGCTCACTGCATAAAAAGTGGCTCCGATGGCCCAAGAGGTCGAGTGGATAACACTTTGGCATTTGAAATAATGGGTACTCTGGTTCAAGTCTCAATACGTACATCATTATTCATTGAGGATTGCAAGTAAACATCCAACTGACTAGTTACAAATAGGACAAAATGCGTGTTATCCTGCATTCCACTGCTAGTCGCCATCTATTATTATATCACTACAGTAAGGATTTCGCTTATGCATATATCTATATCCATATATCCATGGAATGCTAATCCATTGGGGTTTCCCCGCGTGGGTTCTTTCGTGCGTCGGTGGCACAGCGGTTAGGACGCTCGCCGACCATGCACATGCTCCGGGGATCGATACCCGACCGACCCACTCCTTTACCTCGCTTAGCCAGAAATAAAGCTGGTAAAGAGGAAAGGTTGGGCATGAGGCTAGGAACCCATCCCAGAAAAAATAAACACTTCCACAGAAACTTCAAGCCACTAG